AGACATGTTCACCTTTGTCTTCATTCTGAAGTTCTGATTTGGAAGTAGAAAGTATTCTATTGATTAACATATGCAAAACTGGTGCCATACAAATAAACTCATTACACAGACGAGGTAGACCACAGGAAATTAAATGGTAATGCTCCAGGAAAATTTGTAGATTTGACAAATCTAGGGCAGGAGCCAGCAGTTTCCGTGTCTGCATCTCATGCTTTTGTTGCAAGCAGTATTAATGCCAACCTGGCTGTCTGTTCTTGCTCATTGTCACCATACCTGGGACCTGCGATCTCATGACCAACAGTTTTAGAAAATATCAGCTGTCTTGAACCTACCAGCTAAAAATCTTTCTGGTTCATCTTCTACACTTCTGTCATAGTGATCTTCCTAAATTGAAATTTGATCTTGTTACTCTCCTCTGCCTGAAAGCAACTCGCTGGCAGAGAATAAAGTCCAAACTCAGCCTGGCATATAAGGCCCTGCCTCTACACTGCTCCCTTTATCCAAAGCATCAGACATATCAAAGTATTTGGTCCCACTAAAGAACTCCCTTCTCCTCTGTCACTATGCCCGACCCTCTGCAGCACCTCTGCTAAAAACTCCCTACCCCATCTACCTGGGGAAACCCCAACACATCTCTCTAGCTTCAGTGTTGTGTCACTTACTCTCTGATGCCTTTCCTAATATGCTTTCTTCTCTGAGCTTTAGTTTTCACATCAGCAAAATGTGGATCATAATTCCTACACTCTCCTTTTAACTCAAGGATTGCATGAAAAAATGACTAGAGAAGTTCTCTGAAAAATGCAAAACACTACATAAAGGCCAAGTTATGTGATTACATAATAGTTATTATACCGTAAGCCTTTTTTCTTTAGAAACCTAATTACAGTACTTGTGATGATTATTAGAAAATTAACCTCTACAAATTACAACATATTCCCTGTTTATTCATTGCTTAAATGTGAGCTAAGCTTGAGATGGTGATGAGAACTGTGCCAACTTCACACACAAATAGATTAAAATTGGACCCACACAAAAAGGATTAACATGACCTTTGCTCCACATGATTTTCAGTAATAAAAAATTGCATTTGCTTTGCTCTCTAGAAGTCTATTCTCATTTCATATTTCTTTCTTTTTATCAATGAAACAGTCTTCCTTGTGGCTCTCATTCTCTCTAACTAATACAGCTGATTTCCTTAAAAGACTTCTGCTCTAGCACTAGGTCGTTGTTGCTACTTGACCACCCAATTGGTAGACTGATACACCCACTGTTTCTGGAACACAGTGACAATGACAGGTAGCATTTACTGAGTTCTTACTCTGTACCAGGCACTCTTCTAAATGATCTCTGATGATTATAAAATTTAAACCTCACTACATCTCTCATCACCTCTCTGTAAAATGGGGATGAGAAAACGGAAACTTAGGAAGGTCAAACCCCTTGCTAAAGGTCACAAACTAGAAGCAGGGTTCAAACCCAGGAATCTGACAGCAGCTGGGCTGTTAACCACTGAATTGTACCACTGCTCTAAGAGACTGCAGAAGCCTAAGGGACTCTCCAGAAGCTTATACTTAGTGTGGGTGGTGGGGTCCAGGGCTAAGAGAGCAGACACCAGACTTTTGAGTTTTAGACATGCACTTGAATTCATTATATGTGGCAGGCAATCACAGATACAAGCTGCGACACCAAAACCAGGGAACCTAAGTGGGGCAGTGCTGATACCCAGGTAGCAGCCACAAAGTAGGAGGCCTCTGAGGTCAAGGCAATTTGCCACATACTGAATCTATCTCATGCACTTTGCTCAGTTTTCAACAGAATCAAAAATGATTTTGTCTTACTTGTTTCCCTCTACTTACATGAACACCCTTTCAAAAAGGACCTCATTAGATTAAATGTGGTTTCCTGGGTTGGAACCTATGGCAAAATAGGACATTAATGGCCAAGTGATGAAGTTTGAAAAATTCTATAGTTTAGTCAATAGTGATATATCAATATTAATTTGTTTTGAAAAATGTAGATGGTTATAGAAGATGTTAACATTAGGAGAAATTGAGTGAAGTAGTATATACAGGACTCTGTACTTTGCAACTTTTCTATAAATCAAAAGTATTAAAAAATTGAAAGTTTATTTAAAAAGATCTCTATAATAATTATTCTGAGATTAACTTACTAGGCCTATTGAATCAATCTATTGTATACTTTAGATAAACTTACAGTTATTTTTAAATTTTTCCAAAATGATTGTTGAATTCATTAGTGAAAAAAAGAAAACCTATTTGTATTTATAAGAAAACTCAGGTTTTGAACTTGTTGATATTAAACACTGTATTTTCAGAAAAAGGAAAAAAATATTGGTTGGGAATGAGTTACAAAGTCTTATTTTGCCAATAAAAATGACCGAAATTTTGTATTCCCATTGAGAAAAACAAAAGACTGTTACAGTAAGCCAATGATACGATTGGTCTACATAAAGCTTCCTTTCTGGTCTTCTGAGCATCCCTAAATCCCAAGTATTACAGTCTGGCACATATTTTATAAACAGCAAAGGAAAAAATGAAACAAAACAAATTATGTAGGTAACTTGGCTATAATTATACTACCACAGATAGAGCCCAATACTGCTACCACCAATAGAACAATTTTGCATAACAAGTATTATTTTCCATAACAGCCCTAGTAGAGTAGACCTGGAACATGTTGTGCCCAGAGCTTCTGGCTCTTTCCAACAGCCAATCATGCCTGCCACTGGTGGGCTTGAACAAGGAGGAAAGAAAGTGACAAGGGGCTGAACAGAAACAACAGAAAGATAAGCTCAGAAGCTGAGAAAGCACCCAGCCAATTCCCATTTCTGAGATTTGAATAAATGAAAAAAAAAGAAGAAATGCCAAAACTAGTTTACTAACTTATGACGTTTTAGATCTGTAAAGTTGATAAAGTTGCAAGGTGAACATCTTTCCACTCTGTTAGTGTATATCTTATTTTGAAACAGTAAGAGTCTAATTTGAGTTTCCGTGAGTGTGAAGCTCAAGCTAAACAGTCCTACTATTCACTATTCCACCCTGGATCTCCAATACCCGCACCTAAAAGGCCTCAACAGAATGGGAATAAAAACTTTAAAAAACTGGCTAAAGAGAACAAAAAGAAAAGTACTGAGAGGAAGGTATAGAAACCAGCGGGAGAGAGAGAGCACACTGGAAGACCTGGAATATAGCTCATAGTGGTCTCAGGTGCGCTGTGTAGCAATGCCAGGTCACCTTTCACAGACCTAACCCTGAGGGGCTTCCCTGATGCCTTCTTCCTTAGTAAGAGGAATCTGCAACCATCCATTAGGCACCCTCTGAGGACTGAGTGTGCTGGGGACTGAGGAATGGGAGCCAGGATAGAAAGAATAAGATTGTCTCTGTCTGCAAGGAAATTAAAATATATTCTTTGCACTCTCTGGGCAGCAAAGGAGGTAAATAGGTTTCAAAAAGAGAAATGGTTAGCTTTCTAGAGAGATGTTCAACCACGGTTGTCAACCCTGATGGAATAACTTCAATGGCAAGTAACCTAATTCATATTTGTGCTTGGAAATTTAGTTCGTGTATACACAGTAATACTTGGAGGCTGGTATGGGGATCTTCTCGTGTTAATGTCCTTTCTTCCTTATTTACTAGGTGTTACACGTTGTTAACCATCTTGTCATAAACATGAACAGGACACCACTCCAGCTCTCCGCGAACTTTCCAGGTATTGAGGAAGACAGCAAGTAGATCACTGCCTTGGGGTGCTCAGATAACTAGCTGCCAGGAGGAGAGCTCATCTACATTGTCATCTAAGTCTTGAAGGAGGTGTCAGCCTTCTGAAGAAAGACCCAAGTGTGCCCCAAGTAGAGGACCTGACAGGGTAGGAGCGTGTAAGTCACTAAGGGCCTGTCCACGGCCTTTTTCTATTAAGTATAACCTTTCCTTTCATCTTTCAACCATGGCATGGCTCTGATAACTCTGAAAAACCTAATTTCCGTAGGAAAGTTTGGTGAATCACGCTTCTGAAGTACCCTACAGCGTGGTCGCCGAAAGCTCGTCGTTCCGCAATAACTTTCCACCATTTTAATAAAAAGCCCCTAACACAAGCCTTGAAACGAGCTTCTACCTGTGTCAGTACATTAGAAATTCATCTAAAAGTTGAGATCTGTGAAGGAGATGGGGGAAGGGGAGGCCGCACCGGGAGCTGCGACCCAGAGAGCCGGCGTGGGGAGCGGCAGCCAGGGCTTTGCGCGGGAGGCGCCCCCGCTCCGCAGGCGCGGGCCCGGAAGTGCGGCGCGAGCCTGAGGCGCGCGCGCGTGCGCGGGAGGAGACGGGGCGCCGGGGGCCCGCCTTCAAGGAAGGGGGCGCGGCGCACGCAGCATGGCGTCCAATGTCTACTTGGTTCGCCAGCGGATCAGCCGGCTCGGCCAGGTGCGGCCCGGGGAGGAGCCTCCCCGTCCCAGCCCCGTCCCGCCCCTCGCCTCCTCTGCCGTCCTTCTCCGTCTCCGCCCCAGCGCCACAGCCAGCGGCTCAACCGCCGCCCCGCCCCGCCCCGCCCCGCCCCGCCCCGCCCCGCGGCCGCCAGGGCCCGCCCCCGAGCCAGCCCGCCCGCCCCGCCTGCCCTTCCTCGCCGCCCGGTCGCGCGGGTCTCGTCGGTCCCCTCCTCCTCCGCCCCGCCGTCCTGACTCTCTCTCGGTCCTTCCCTCAGAGGATGTCCGCCTTCCAGCTCAACCTCAACCCGCTCAAGGAGCCGCTCGGCTTCATCAAGGTCCTCGAGTGGGTGAGTGCAGCCCGCGCGGCGAGGCCCTCGGCGGGGAGGCGGGGGCCGCGCGGGCGCTGAGGCCGCCGCCGCCGCGGGACGGGAGTGGGCGGCTGGGCAGGGTAGGGAGGCCGCGGCTGGGCCGCGCGGGGCGGAGACGCCGCGGCCGGCGTCGAATCACGAGCCCCTCAGCCGCCTCGCTGCGGGAGGAGCCGCCCTCCCACACCAGAGCTCACCTCTGGGTGCCCCGTGGAGGGGGAGTTCAGGTTTCCCTTTGGCTCCGCTGCCTGCCGCAAAGGAAGGGAAAACTTCCTGCTGCGGTCTGACCGAAACCCGACGCCCCAGGTCGCTCCCCGAGAGGGTCAGCGGGTGCGTCCCTGCTTTGTGCGGCCCGGCTGCCTCGGAAGCCGACTTTGTCTTGTGGAAGTGATTTGACAAACTTTCCCTTCTTGATTTGCTTTAAGATCGGGTCCGAAATAAAAGTAGTTGAAAATAAACTGTGGGCCAGAGAAGCGGAGTAAAGGACTTTTAACACGAGGCATTGAGTCAGTTCGGTTCAATTAACACGCCAGGAATGGACATTGAGTTTGTTTTGGGTATTTCCAAGCGACATATTGTTTGGAAAGTCATCTTTTAGTCCTTTCCTGGGAACACTCACAATCATTAACATCAGAGGAGACTTATTAATTCGACGTTGGCAATAATCAGTCACTTGGAGGAGTTAGCAATAAACCAGACACTGCAGGCTTCCCTCAAACTTAGTGGCCCGGCACATATTTCAGTGCTCATTTTCAGGTTCGTATTAATAGACAGCTGGCATCTGTTCTCTGTGCAGGCAAGTTGTGTTTATAGCCAGCAACATTTACATCCATTACTCTTCCACCCTTTATTTCAGTGATAAGGTGATGAAGAAGAACGAGAACTTCCAGTTTCCTATTTTAAATAACCTACCGAGGATGTTTTTAAAAGCAACACAAAAACTAAGATTCTCTGATGGGTACTTAATAGGATTTCCTACCTACACCATTCCCTGAGAGTTTTGCTTGGTCTTTTCTGAAAACTGAAATAGTGCTGATTTCATACAGATGTATACTTTAACGACACATAAATGTATATACTTAGAGTTTTTTTAAATGTAGGTCCAGGTTTAAATATAAAGGAAGTTATTTGGCATATAAAAATTAAAAATTGCAGGAGGAAATTCACATTGCTAGTCAAATATAAAAGTTAAGAGTCTTCCACCCAGTAGATTGAATCTCATTGAGGATTGCAATTAATTTATAAATAATAACTTAGATTTTCACTTAATTAAGCAGTTATTTATATTTGCACTTACATTATTTGTCAGGTTTTTTAAAAACTTAAATTTTTTCCTTAATATTTTAAAGCACCAGTGATATTCATTAGTTTCTGATGTATTTTGAAAAATATCTTGTTTTAAACTTAAGGAAATACTACACTTAGTTTGAACAGCTTGTTAATCCACAGGAGAGCCTTTTATGAACAGACTACATATTGTTAATGGTGTACTGAATATTTATTCAACAAATATTTGAGTATCTATTATATACCAGCACTGTGCTAAACACTAGCGTTCAAACATGAATGAAACATGGTCTTTTCCTCATGATCTATTAAGGATGAAGGGCATGAAAATAAATATGAAAGTGCCATATAATAAATACTATAATAAAGTATATGCAAAGTATAGTAAATGAAAGGTGGGAGAGAGCAGTTGCTTAGAGAAGCTAGGGAGGACTTCAGAGAGGAAAGAACAGTTGAAGGATGAGTACTTGTTCAGTTGGGGAGTGGGTGAAGAGTGGCTTCCTAAGCAAAGGGACTCTTAAGTTCCCTTTGCTGGGAAGCCACTTGGTGTGAAAAGTTGAAGCAACATAGCCCTGTATAAGAACTTAAAGTAATAGAGGGTTGGCTGGAATATGTACAGGGAAGATATGGTTTGAGATGATTCCGAAAGGTTTCAAAGAGCTTGCCCCCTCAGGTTAATCTTTGGTAATCTGGGCCCTTTCCTTAGGAAAATGCATATGTGCAGAGTACAGAATATGGGGTATTTTTTGGATAACAAGCCCAGAATCCCTACTATAGGGTATAGGAAGTTACTCAAGGGTTTTAAACAAATGAAGAATATAATTAGATTTGCCTTTTAGAAATTATCATTTTGTCAGTAGTGTAGAGGGTGGATTGAAAAGGTCAGACTTGGAGCAAGGGAGATCTGTTGCTTGAAAAATTATGAGGAACTAAAATTAGTTACATTAGGGATAGAGAGGTTTAGAAATTATTAATAGAATATATTTGGAAAGTGAAGAAGAGGGAGGACTCTAAGATGACTGCTGTATTTCTGACTTGGGTTGGTAGTGGCATCATTATCCAAGGTACCTCTTTAAGAGGAAGAGGAGCAGATTTTTTAATGGAGGGTCAATAGGGGATGCATTGAGTTGTGGTCTCTTTTAGCTCTTATATAAGTGGTGGTATCCTATAAGCAGTTATATACGTGGATCAAGAGTTTAAAATACAAGCTTGGGCTGCAGATTTAACAGATAACTGCTGCCAAGTGGAGAAGGAATCATTAGGAAGATGGAGAGAAATAAAATCTTGGCATCATTATTAGAATTTCATCATCATTCTATTATTAGAATTTCAAGGAAAGAGTGCTCAAAAATGTTAGGTGCAATAGAAAGGTTAAGTAAAATAAGTACTAAATTGTGTCCCTTGGTTTTGGTAATCAGAGACTATTGGCTGTAGCAGGAGCAGTTTCAGTAAAATCAGAAGCCAGATTGTGGTAAGCTGAATGGAGGTGTGGTTAAGAAAGTGAAGGCAGTGAGCATGAACCCACTATTTGTGAAGATAGGAGAGTTTTGGTGGTGGTAACAAAAAAAAAAAAGAGAGAGCCAGACACTAGTTCAGCTTACAACTCATTTGCTTAAATGCTTTATCTGGAAACAACCATTGTATTTGCCATGCAGCAAAAGTTTTTATTTATACTTCCCATTTCATCATTGAGAGCATTAAGACTCAAGGGTCAGGGTTTAATACAAATAATTTTTACTGCTTCATCAAAGGCATTCTTAAGTGAAACTGACTTTTTTTAAACTGCAAGTGTGTGACAATGAAATACAGTTTGGTACTATTGCTGATTGTTACCAAAGCCCAGCAGTTTTCCCCACCAATGTGTTTGCCCAATCAGAGCAAATGTTAATGCAGTATAAAAGGCAAGTAATTTCTTAGTATTGTTATAAAACTATTTTTGACCTTTGTGGACTCCTGAAAAAATCTGAAAGGGGTTCTCCTGAAAGGGGTTCCAGGGGTCCACAGATCACACATTGAGAATTGTTGTTCTAATAGAAGGTAAATATCATTGGGGACCAGAAGCAGAATAGAAAATATGAGTGGGAGAAGAACCATTCTCAGATCTGGGAATTAATCTGGAAAAAGCTCAACCTGCTATCTGGTTTATGACTTACATAGAGCTGAGTACTTAAAAATGTAGAAAGAAAGAAAGAAAGAGATAATAGTCACCTAACTAAGACCTGGACTGGACCAATCTACCTAGATGCTTAAGGTCTGGATTTGTGATAACTTGAATATTCTCTTATGTAGGTGGTTTGGGGGTCCCATCATAAGGTGTGGTGTTGGACTAGGGGACTCAGAATGCCAAGCAGAAATGACCATAAAACCACTAGACATGGATAGAAAGGGGGAAAAAACAGTCAAGCTGAACCTACATCAAATATCCTAAAACACATGAAGAAAACTATTTTTTATAATACTTAAAAGCTCAAATTATATCAGTGGCAACAAATACTGTCAGTTTTCCAGGAAATGGCAGGCTTACTTTAAGACAGCCAGCCTGATCAACAATCAGGACATTGATTCACTCCAAAAGACAGGAAAATAGAAGAATCTGAAAATGATTTTTAAATAAATACATTGCGTTTCCTTGGAGATTTTTAGTTCTATACTTAGCTTAACAATTGTTTAAGAATAAAGTTGGCATAAAAATGTTTTCAACATGCGATGAGTAAGAATTAGTAAAAAACTACTAGCTGTTTATTTCTGCCGGAACTCTAGAGTTTACGTCTCATAATCCCAATTCTTAAGGGTTGTGGAACTGTAGTAGCAGGCTATTCAGAACTTTCTATGACTGTGCTTTAGAAGCAGAGGGAGATAGAGTAAAACTGAAGCACTTCATAGCTGACTTTATTGCTTATTGTACAGTTGGAGTAAAGTGAAATAGCATCAAAAATAAAAACATTTTTAAAAATGAATAACTTTAGTAAACGTTTCAGACTTAGGCTCATAAAAATCAATACGTTGGCTCTAGGCATCTAATCTTATGATTGTAAAGGCAAACATGCTGTTAACAGTTCATTTTAAGTACTGAATAATCAATCATTTGATTTAGTAAAACCAGCATACATTTAGTTCTGCACATAAACACTCATAAATAATATATTTTATATCTATTTTTGAATATTTCAGTTACCATTTTCATAAATCTTGGACAGAAAGAAATTTAAGTAGATGACTTCCGATTAATGATGAAATCAAATAGCAGTGAGGATCCTGCAACTAGAAACATGTAAATGACACCCATAAATTAGATGAATACCAGTGTTCCCCAGTAGAATCCTCAGAATGAGCGTTGTCTAGGAATAGGAGTTAGAAAAGTGACTCAGACTTTAGGATAGATATAACTCACTGAAAATACCAGTGGTTTCCAAATTATTTTTTATCATGTACTCTGTCACTGTAAAATTTTATGTGCAGAGCCCCATTATGCATCTATAACTTAGATGCATAGTTTACTATGTTAATACACTAAGGCATATTATGCACTCTGTAAGTTTCATTCATATTTTTAAATCCTTATTTCAGATACTATTCTGATAATTTCTAATTTTTTTGCCACCTTCTAGTGATTTGATTAAGTAGAGTCTGTTTTTACCTTGTGATATGGCTGATGAATCTAGCTCATGTAGGATATTATTGCATCCATTTTCTCTTTTGTACATGAGTGTGTGTATTATCAATCTGTAGTTTCTTGGAAGATATTTTTAAGCCACTGGTCCATTTTGCAAAGGTTAGGTGGTTAACACTAGATAATTTATTCCATAAACCCACTTAGCGAGGCACACTCAAATTGTAATGCATGAACACTAAAAGTGAAAGAATAGGTGAGGTTATCATTGTCCTTCCACGTATGAGACTCCTCTTATCTTTAGGATACCCAGCATGCTGTCCTGACATACGAACGTCTGACATCTGGGCCTAGCTTGGGTTTCAGTGGTATATTAATTGCAGTAAAGCTTTAATTACTTATTTAAGTCTAAAAGTAGATATTAATATAAATACAAGTTTAAATACTTAATCTTGTACACCAGTTAATTGGAATTCCAGTCTACTTTGAAAACAAGTGTTCTAGAAAGCCAGGCTGTAATGCTAACTGTGAGGTTACAGATCTCTGAATAAGTGAAGGGTCTGCCACAGTGGTCATCTAGTGTGGATCTGGGGGGCAGAGATATAAGTGGGACCTTTTCTCTGGTAACTTGGGGCTGCTGTGATGAATATGGAACATTTCAACCTAAAAAAAAGCTTGCTGTCACCCTGTGCCTGGGTTCTTACTAATTACTCTACAGATAGAATTCCATGTCAGCATTTCAGTCATTCTTCATGGAGTGGGGAGGGATGGGAAGGTGAATTTCAGAAGTACCAAGGAAATAT